TGACAAAGTTACAAAACAGCCCGTAAAAAAACAACCTCCAAGTTTAGGCAATTTAATTAGAACTATAAGGGGATTTTTATTGATACATTAAAAATTAAAATTATTTGGGTTTAAAGAATTTTGTACCAGGCATTTCAACCAGGATCCCCTGGAAAATTTTTTTGGTTTAATTAGGGCTCAAGCGGGTCAAAATACTAAGCCTACTTGCTACCAATTTTAGGAAACTATAAAGCGTTAGTAATCAATAATTTAACCCGGTATCATGCAGTCGGAACAAACTGTGAAGCAGATGACGGAAAATTTCTTCTGACATGGGAAAAATACATTGCTTTTACTGAAAATGAAGCAGAGAATTTTTCCGAAGAAAATGATCATAATCAAAATAAAAAAATTAAATCAACTTCACATCCTTTACCTGAAAAATCTAAAATAAATAATTATCTTCTACTGTAATTCCGTGTAATTCAAAAATTAAAAAAAAAAGTGCACTGCTTAACATCTTGTTCCGACTGCATGAAACTTTTGCAATCCAGTTTTAAAACAAATTCTATCCTTTTTCAAATTCATGTAGACATTTCTAATCTTTTGCAGAGGATTATGGTTTCCATTTATAAAGAGAATAACATTTGTGCCATAGCAACAGAATTCCTTAAGAAGGAAATAAGATTAGAAATGTTTACATGTATATGCAAGGCAATTGAGAGAAAAGATAAGACACTAAAATCTAAGCATACATTTTCAACTTTATTCAGAAAAAATAAATTATTGCCTTTTGAGATGGAATCACATGGAAACCATTAAAGTTCTTGATTTTCAATATATGAACTATATTTTAAATATATGAAATATATTTAGTCATTTTTAAAAATTGTTATAACTATATATTTTTATATAAAGCAATTAAATACTTCACAACGGATGTTAGAATTGATTAAATTTCAAATATCAAAATTGTATTTAATTTATAGATTCTTTAAGAAAGAAATGTTTAAAAATTTATTATTTATGCAGAGAAAGAAATTTTAATTTTCTGCTTTTAAAATAAATTTAAAAAATTATTAAGCATTTATAAAAAATGTATTTCATTTCTCTTTTGAAATGATAACACGTCAATGTAAGATATGTATATTAATAAATGTTGAATTTTGATTATCTGTTACCAGATTGAAGTTTGTATTTGTAACTTTTTAAAAATTCAATTCTTTTTTGTGTTTTTAACTAAAATTATTCTATAAATCCATTATTTTAAATGATTAATTAAATAAAAATATTACACAATATAAGTAATGTCAGAAGAATTAGAATTTTTTTTTTTAAATTTCCAATTTAATTAATTCAAAATTGAAATTTTCTAAAATTAAAAATAAAAACTATGGAATTCTATTGAAATTGTATTGAAAAAAAATTACTAAATTACTAAATATTTGCGTACAATTTTATTAAAATTTTGTAAAATTAATTAATTAATAAAATAAATAAAATTTTATAAGAATTGTTCATATATTTATAATTATATGTATTTTATATTTACAATACAATGAACTCATTTATTATTTATGCTTATAAATTTTAAAGTTTTTGTATGTGAAATTTGTATGTTTTATTTTTACAAAAAGTTGAAGAAAATATAAAATTATTTTTAGTTTCTAAGGAACTAACTTAGTTCCTTAGTTGTTTCCTTAGAGTACAAACGAATGATTTTATTTTGCTAAAGGATAATCATTTTTTAAATAGGAACACATTTCACACAAATAAAATTTTAAGTAATACATGTACGAGCTGGTGTGTATACATATAGAAGTTAGTTCACCCGTATTAACTACAGAGGCGCTGAAGTCAAGAAATCTTTTGCCACAAATTTTACATTGAGTCGGCTAGGACTGACTGTTAACCTGAACGCCAAAGAGCATCTTTTAAAATAGAGATTACAATTGATTTAAAAAATCGAATGATTAACATTTTCTTTTCTTATATACAATCGACATTTCTAAACTGTAATTTAACATTCATAAGAGTATTTCTTAAGATTGGAATGTGAACTAAATCAAACATGTATTTTATGTAGTTTTCTTTTCTTAGTCGTATTTTATGTAGCTTTGTTTTCTTAGTCAATTATTGTTGAATGTGTTTCTGTTTTATTTTGCACATTTAAAATAATTCAGGGATTTAAAAAAGTTTTAAATTGTCTCACATTTTAATATTTATTAAAAATTGTTTATAAAGAAACGAAACATATTTTTTTCAATTTTTTTATTTAGTTGATGTTTGTGCATGGATTAGTTTTTAGTATAAATAAAAATAATTTTTATTGAAAGTCTTTATATTTTAGGACAAAAATTAAGAATTTTTTTTCATTCCTTACAATTAAGAAACAAAATGGCGTTCAGGCGTCGATTTTTATGTCACACATGTAACAGACAATTCCAAGGACAGCAAATGCGATTTTTAAACGGTACAACAATGTAAAACAATATTATTAGACATCAAATTTCTGTAACAAGGAGAGAAGGTTTAAATCATCCTCCTCTTCCTGTTAATGAAGATTCAAAATTATGTTTCAATTGTTATACGTCAATAACGAACGAAATAAATGTTATGCAAGAAGATTCAAATTGTATAAGACCACTGATTTCTATATATAACTGGATAGCGTATTCCTATACTTCGAGCTTAGAAATATTGTGACCAATAGAAGGCCGGAAGGCCATTTTACGAAGCAGTGAGTTTCTCACTTTTCAGCGCGAAATTTGAATGCGCTTGAATAAAACATATTCTTTAAAATGTGCAGATTGAAAAAAATCAATTAAAAATTATTTTGACTAAATATATATTCAAAATTATAATTTTTAGGTTAAAGTATTTATAACTTTTAACCTAAAAAAACGATGTATTGATCGCCACAAAAAATAAAAACAAATAAGTTATGCATACAATTATTACAATTATAGCAGTAAATTTTCTTTTACAATGGAAAAACATAAAATTTTGTATTATATTTAACTATAAATATTAAAAATTATTATGATAATCTAAAATCAAATAAAATTAGAGTAAGCTTTGAACAATACACCAAATAATATTTATAATGTCTCACAATAATTGAATTAAAATTTAGTCTTTGGTGTATGAGCCAAAGGCAAAAAAATAAAATATAAGGTTTTTAAACAGAACACACAATTTCACTGAACATACTTTATTAAAAAATAAAAAATAAAAGCATTTCACAATATTTTACAATAATAATAATACGATATAAATTTAACTATATTCGCACGCTAAACGAGTACTAATCAAATTTAATAAATTTACATTTATTTTCGTCAGTCGGTTTTATTCGAAAATTATCGTCGTTACTTTATTTCGATCATCGACAAGCTTAAGAATCGCAATAAATTACATTAATGAAAAATAATTTTCTATTAAAAACTGAAAACTGCTACAGTAAACGGTATATGTATACAGTAACTGACATCCGTTCTTGACAACAATAATAAATATAGAAAAAACGTTATTATTTAGTTCCAATTTATCATGATAATTAGGGGCATTCATGATGATAAAGAATATTTTCGAAAATTGCAAGTAATTTTTGAAATAAATGTTGAAAAACGAAATTAGAACAGTTGGATTTTTGGCTTTGTCGGCGAAAGTTTTGAACAATATGGCGGCAAGCACACAGACAAGTGGATCTATGTGTCAGTGGTCAAGGAGGTGGCGCTAATTCTCGGAAGTGGTCGCGACTTGAACTGAGGAAATGTATTAATCTCAAATTACTCCACTTTCAATCGTTAATAAAATACTTTCTTCGCAAAATTATTGCAAAAACGGAGAGGGCCGCTCCTCGGAAAGTCTTCCTCTATCACCCCTCCAAATATGAACCCGAAATATTTTATCCTCTCAAAATAAGACGTCTATATCAAACTGTATTCATAACCCCCTTTTTCCGTATATTTAAACAATTTTTTTCAATTATTATTTATCAAAATTTGTTTAAATTCTGAGAGCAGCGCTGGTCCCAGAGCATTTCTCTAAATTTACTAAAAAATCACGACTCAAAATATTCTTTTCTTTTTAAATGAGACGTCTATCACGAAACCATTATTTTTTCCCGGATTCATGAGATTTGTAATATTTATAAATTGCTGAATAAATATTTTAAATATTGTCACTGCTAGGAACTTGCAAATATTTTAACGTAGTACCTATAATAATAATTATTGTTTTTACGATTAGGTCAAATAAAAATTGTTATATTGCTTCCTCACAGAGGAAGTATTATGTACCAAAATTTTTTGAGTTCGATTTTTTGACATGTCTTTATGTTATTTGACTTCATCAGTTACAAAATCATATTTACGAATTTACACGAGATATTAAACTTTTAGAAATCTAAAATTTCGATAAATATGACTTTTTTGAAAATTTTGTGGAAAATGTAGAAGTAACTTTAAAAGTATCGTTATTAACTTGTAGAGCATTAAAAAACGCTTCGATCGACCTATTTTTCAACCTAATTCGATCATAAATTGCAAAATTATTGGTATTTCAAAACCAAAAATTGTGGAAAATGACATTTTCTCAACTTTTTTATTTGAAAACTTTTCTTCAACTATTAAACTATTATAACTTATAATTACCTTGTAGGGTATTTTAAATACATTGATTGATTCAAGATTTAATCATTTTTACCATATATTATTTATAAAAAGTTATTCATATATTTTTATTATTATTATCTCTATAAAGAAGTAAACTGTTCATGAAATGAGTTCCAAAATTATAACAAAAATATATATAACTTGTCGGCGGTTTTTCTAATATTTATATAAAACATATTTTACTTAATCAAGAATTATTTTATGGTAAATTTTATTTATCGCAATGAAAAAATGTTGAAATCAAATGTTTATCTAAATAGTATTTATGTACAATTCTTATTTATAATATACTTCACTTTTTTAAAATAAAGAGTTGTTCCTTTTTTCTGGTATAATAACAGGGTCCAATGTTTTCTAGATTTCTTCGAGGGTAACACGTCCAGTAGTTAAAATGTTTAATAACTGCAAGAATAAAATATATATGGGAAGAAGAACGATACACGTTCACGGTGATTTCATTAAAATATAAAATAAAAATTTTAACACAAAATTTCATTCAATATTTTAGTTATTTGATTTTTTCTGTAATGATTTCACTAAAAATTGTTAAATCTTCTTGTATGACTGTTAAAATTTGTAATCATTTTAATTTATTCTACTATTATTGAACAAAAACACAGCCTGACATCGTACACAAATAATTTGTCATTTTTGAGAGGTTGTGGTCATCACCCACAGGTTAAAGGAAAAAAGGTATAACAGCAGCAATGTTTTAAATGAAAAAGCAGAAAGCATAATTTTTTATATAATTTAATAACTGTAAGAATAAATATCAATAATCGCATACTAAAATCAACATCAACACGGTGCAACATTAACAACAAGTATTTTCTAATTTACTACTGACGTGCCCAAATAATCTGTCTCGTAAGATGATTTCTGATTTTCATACCAATCAAATTTTCTGAAGCAAGTTTTGTGGCAGCGTAGAAACGAACATTAATGTAAGTTTTGCATATTTCTTTTGTATAGGCTTATTGTCGTCCACTAATTTTTTAACCCAGCCGGCTATGTATGCGACACAAGATCTCGAAAACTGAGTGATATAATTAGGAAGATTCAATTGTGAATTATCAAATTCATTGGAAAAGTCTGTTTCTGCAGTGTTCTCTTCATAATTATTCATTAGACCATATTTTTTTGCTACTCTAATATTTAACATTTTGTCATACACCTGTGGATCATAATGGTCTTTTCTGAATTTCCGTGTAGATAGGACTATTAAAACTTTTGTGGAATCCATGGCTTCTGAATTTTCATTAACTGCCTCCACCTCATGATGAATTAAGAGACGTTTATAGGCAGAACTGAAATGCAAACTTGTGATGAACAACTTCTGATGGCACAAAAGAAAAGTTCCAAATGATCTTGTCTAAATTTATACGTTAAAAGATAGCGTAATTGAGAACCAGGTGCCTTTACATAAGTATCGAAAATTTGGATTATACTGTCAACAGCAGTTATAAATCCGATGAAAGGAACATATTTTCTAGTTTTAAGCATCAACTTTCCACTGACATCAGTAATACCCTTTAAATACTCTACTTCCGTTAAGACAGTTGAACGCCAATCTGCTTCATTGCAAACCTTCAGAGGAGACTTAAATCCTTTTGCAAAAGGGTTCCTGGAATTAAGGAAATCAAATATTCTATCAACGCATCTTATGAATCTAACTGTTGCTTCACTTCCCTCAAATTCTTTTAAATGCAAATCTAAATTACAAAACTCAATGCTATCAGCTACACTACTACTCAAAGTTTGAGCAGCCAAAGCAACTTTCATTTTCATTTTCCAATACTGAATATGTCGTTTCTTACCCAGTGTCCAAAGTTGCAGAACAGTTATGTAACTATTCTGGAACAAAAAATAACAAGTTCTATAACTGCTGAGGAACAGGCAGGTCAAAATGTCGTCCCCCTGGGGGCACAAAATAGGAACAAAAGTCTGTAACAATTCTAGAACAAAACTAGAACATTGTTCTATAACGATTCTGTAACTGATGTAGAACAATGTTCTAGAACAGTTACAAAAAATATTTGGAACCAAAATATATAATCCTTAATATGAAACGAGTAGATATGCAAATTAGGTAAAGAGAGACAGTCTAATGTTGCTTATCCTCGAAAGAGAAAGAAAGCAATAGCGTTAGATTTTCTGCGTTATAAACAGAGACCGATTTATGTTATTTCTATTTGGAAAGAGGAAGAAAGCAGTAGCGTTAGATTTTCTGCGTTATAAACAGGGACCGATTTATGTTATTTATTTAGAAAGAAGAAGACAGAAAGATATTTGAAAGATATATATATATATATATATATATATATATATATATATATATATATATATATATAAAATTTAAAGAGAAACGAAAGGCCTGCTACACGGAGAAAAAAATCAGGGCTTTTTAGCATGGAGTGGTCTGTACCTTTAGCGCATGGGCGCTTTCTTACGGCGAAAGAACGAATTTGTACGATTGCAGCAAGAGCTCGCCCTATTTTAGTAAGGAGCCTTGCTGCAATCGTACGAGTTCGTTCTTTCGCCGCAAGGAAGCGCCCATGCGCTAAAGGTACAGACCACTCCATGCTACAAAGCCCTGATTTTTTTCTCCGTGTAGAGTACCTGGCCTATTGTTTGAAGGGTTTCTTTCAACCAGTAGGCCGTCTATTGAGTGACCAGAGAGAGAGAGAGGAGAGAGAGTTGGTAGTCTATTTTATACTTGAGTATACATATATACACTGTAAAAAATTTATGGAGTTAACGGACTCGGGAGTTTGGAGTGAAATTTTTCGAGTTAAAAATCAACTCCAAAAGAGAGTTAATTTCTAACTCCCTTCATTCAACACCCGCGCGAGTTATTTTTTCATTGGGGAGTTAGCATTTGGGTGTGAAGTTTTAACTCTCTTTATTTAACTCCCCTGGCATTAACTCCCCAATGGGTGCGACTTTTATAGAATCCCCTGGGGAGTTAAAATTTAACTCTCTTTTTTTACAGTGTAGTTATAGTTTATTAACAGATTTTCGCATTATATAATACAGAAAAATAAAAGTGCAATGTGAAGAACACTTTTTTTCTCTTTTCAAAATTAAAAGACGAAAAAAATTTTTGTGATTAAAAATAAGGATAAGGAGGTAAGTTTTTAAAAATTGTGTAAAATACTACTTTTTAGTGATATAAAATGATTTTTCTTTTTTGTAATTAAGAAATGCAAGTAATAAATTAACAACTTTCCCGCCTAAGTCACTAACATTATCTACTTTTTCAACAATTAAACTTGTAAAGAAATTTAAATAACTTTCTAGAATCATTTTAAAAATGCTTGATCTCGTCCTTAAGTTTGCCTTGTTTTATTAAAAAATTAATATAATTTCAGAAATACTTTACATGGTTTAATATTTTTTTAATAAATCTTAAACCAGTACCCAGTTTTTTATTATAAAAAAGTTTATGTTGTCTTAAACAAAAAAAGAATATTTTTTATTTCAGTTCAAAATTAGAGTCTTGAAGGTAATAAACAGGTGCCATAATAATAAGGTGCCAGTTCTAGAATCATTATAATAATAATATTTATTCGCCAAAATATGACTATCAAATAAACACAATTTAATAGCTTCAACAAGAGCATTAAAATTGATTTCTTCTGAATCAATTGACTTTTTTCCACTTGACATGCCCAAAAATACTAGAAAAAAAAAAATAAAAACAACATTTAAATAGTATGCCTGCAAAGTCGTATTTTTTATGCTGCCCAGATGGTTGTTGACACCGTCTCACAACTGGTGATATGCTGTGTCTCACACCCAGAAATTGGCGCTATTTTGAAAAAGGAAAATTAAATAATTTTCAACCGTAGATTGGAACAATGCAATATTGCATCACGAAATATAAGGAAAACACTAAAAGAAAATGCATTACATTTACCTTTTCCAATTAATTAACTTGGAAAAAAAGTACTTTGCATTTATTGAAAAAACGCTTTTTAGTCGATTATCACACACAGTGTTGGTATTTAACAAAAACAGTTTATATATCCGCTTCGGCGTACACGAAAAAGTTGGCTCATATAAAAAGAAATGTTTTTATATAAACCAATCGGCTTTTTAATATTGCATGTTAAAAAAAATTGACTGTCTCACAACTGGAGGTGTCTCACAACTGGAGACTCTCCCCTAAATATCAATTTTTGATACTATTTTTTTAAATGCGTTTTTCTCAAAACAGGATTTTTAAAATTGCCGTGCAGTGTAGCTCAAAAAGTTATTGACCGATTTTAAAATAAAAAATTGGAAATTGTTCGTTATTAAATTTATTATTAAGTGAACTAAACTTGAAAAGAAAAAAAATTTTTAGTACCTTTTTTAAAATAAGAAAGTTGCAAAAAAGTAGGCAAAAAATCGAATTTTTTTTTAAAGTAGTGTCAATTTTTAATATTTTCACTTAAAAGTTAGTTCACTTAATAATAAAATATTTATAAAATATGAATAAACTTGATTTTTTGCTTTCGGACAAAATTTGTTGGCTCAGGACTGCACGGCAGTCATGAACTCCGGCGGAGCAGCTCTATATGCAATAGCTCCTAATTTGGAAGATTTTTGATATAAACGCTTATAAAAAATATGAGTTACAGTTAAATATATGAACAACATAGTAGAAATGTTTTATTTCATTCAAAAAAATTCTTACTTTAAAAAAAAAATTCGCGAAAAACGGCAAAAAACATTTTATATTGTAAATGTTTTGAAACAGACAATTTTTGTTTTAGCTTGATACTTTTTTTAACTAGAAATGGCCAAGCATTGAAGTTAGGATAATACATAAAATTCTGTCATGTTTGGCTTTTTATTTACATATTTACTTGTAGATTTTAATGTTAAATACTATTAGCATAAATTAATACTATTAACATTAATTGAATTAAAATAAACTGAATGCTTATTTCAGCTTTATCTAAAGAACATTAAAACATGTAAAGTATTTCCAAAATTATATTAATTTTATTAAACAAGACAAAGTCAAGAAATTTTTTAATGATTTTGGAAAGTTAATTAAATTTTACTTTTAAGTTTAATTTTTGAATACTTATATTGAGTTTTAGTGTCTTAGACGGGAAAAATGTTAATTAATACATTTTGCAAAATGAAAAAATTATTTATAGCACTAAAATGTAGCATTTACATAATTTTTGCAGATAGTGCACAATTAATTAAAATTGATTTAATAAATGGTAATAAATCATTAATTAGAGAATAATTTAATCCCAACAAAAACATCTTTGATGTTTTAATATAATGGGTTTTGACCCAATAAGGAAAAAAAAATTTTTTCACAATAAGGGAAACTTTTTCAAAAAAAATTGTATTGTTAAAGTAATTTGGTGTTAAAGTTTTAGATCATTTTATTTTCA